AATGGAACAAAAAAAAAAGAAAAAGAAGATAGTCGGAAGAGGAGGAGGAGGAGAGAAGAGGAAGGAGAAGAAGATGAGGGGGAGGCGGGGGAGGAAAGAAGAAGAAGAACAACAACAAGGGATCAGTTTCCTTTTTTTTTTTTTCTTACCTGTCGTTTATCTCGCGACCTATCGATGACGAATGGAACAAAAAAAAAAGAAAAAGAAGATAGTCGGAAGAGGAGGAGGAGGAGAGAAGAAGAAGAAGAAGAAGAAGAAGAAGAGGAAGAAGAAGATGATGATGATGATGATGATGATGATGATGATGAGAGGGGGACGGGCGGCTCCACGGCGACGGGCGACGGGCGGCTCCACGGCGCTGGCGACTCCACGGCGCTGGCGGCTCCACGGCGACGGGCGACGGGGGAGTGAAGCTCCCAGGCGATGGCTCCACGACGACGGGCGGCTGAACCACGAACTGCGCCGGCGGGGGAAGACCAAGGCCCCGTTTGGACAGCCGATGCAGGCCGCGGCAGCCAGTCGGCTGTTCAAACGGGTCTACGTTTTCCCTCCAAACATCAAACAGGCCTGACTCGCCTTTTTTCAGGCCTGGTCGGACCCGGTAGGCCCTGGGGACGCCAGCTGACGGCGATTCGGGGTCTGAACCCCCCCCCCGACAAGGTGTGCTGGGGGTGCCCGGCCCCCAACCGGGCCGCCCGCCCGGCCAGGCCGCCTGGGACCTCCCCCGGGCAGGCGCTGGTCGACCGGGCGGCCCGGATCCGTACTCAGAAAAAAAGTTCTTTTTTTTTTTTTTGGAGTCCACACAATTTGGATCAATGTAAATGCTAACTAACCTCACAATGACAAGATATGCACATTCACTATTCAGTATTCACTGTACACTGTGGTGACTGTGCAGTGTGCACCATAATATTCCGTGGAGTTGAGCACCTGCTCCTGCTCATTTACAAGGGCTTTATACCCAGCCTGCCACAGTCAAAGAGTTTGTCACCCGCCATTCTGGTCAGAGACTGGACACCGTTTCTGGACTCGGACTGCAATGTCTCTGGGCCTGAGTGCGATCTTTGTTAACCACCATTCTGGCCTGAGACTGAACTACCTAGGCATGTGTTTGCACTTTGTTAGCCCGCCATTCTGACACGAGTTTGAACTCCATTTTGGCCTTGGGCTGGCTGGATATGGGCCTCTATCTTGGACTTTGTTAACCCATCATTCTGACCTGAGTTTGAACGATGTTTAGGTCTTGGCCTGGACTAGCCAGGCATGAGTTTGGACTTTGTGAACCCAGCATTTTGTCCCGACTTGGGGTGGACTGTTTGGACGATGTTAACAAGCCACTCTTCCCTCCAGGACTTGAAGGGGATGCCTTTTGCCTCAGCCTTCGATAGTACTAGACCTGACGACTGAGGGAAAGGACTCTAGGACAAAAGTTGGCCTGCCCAACTACATGAAGGGGTAGGGAGCCATGATGGACATTCATGTTCAAGGTCTATGTTGGTAAAACGCTAGAATGCGAGCCCAGATTTCCATTATATGCTGCAACACTAGCACAGTAGAGAGAGAGCTCACCAGCTACTTAGGCGAGCAACAGTGGACGGTTGCTGGCCATGCAGCAGCAGGAGGTCAGAATCCTACAAGCAAAATTTAAATGGAGGACCCTGCACTCCAATCAGCGATTAGGAGGGCGAAGAGGGTACTGAAAGATGGAGAGCAACATTTAGACTCCACCTCCACTCTCTCTCTCTCTCTCTCTCTCTCTCTCTCTCTCTCTCTCTCTCTCTCTCTCTCTCTCCCCCCCCCCCCCCCCCCCCCCGCCCCTTTGACACGCATTGAAGTTAGATGCTGTAAGGAAAGAAGTTGTTGACTCTGAGTACTCCAGACAGCATATAGGAGATTTGGCTGGCTGTCCGTCATTGGACACTTTCACGTGGGAAGATGATGCTGGGCCAGAGACTGAAGTTCGAAAAAATAGTTCTTATCTGCCATTTGGATTCTGACACCTCTTCCCCCATTGGCACAAGAACAACAATGCCAAATATCTCTGAGCTGAGAAAGCTGTCTAAAATAGCATTCAGTTCGGTGAATGCAGGTTTCTTGGAGTCTTCTGCTGTCATCTCCCGATTCTTTGATTCTCTTGCCTCTGGCACGCTCTTCTGCCGGGATGGGATCCTTGAAAAGGAGAGTTGGCTCCGTGACTGGTCAGAGACCCATGTAAAACTCTCAAGAGTCGTCATCCGCAGTTGGTCCTTTTATCGAAGGAGGTATCATCCCCTAACATCAATTGTATCCAGATTTGAGCTGTTGATCTAGCTGCCAACAGTTCCACGTGTCTACCTTTCACCCACCAAGAAGGTACTCGTCCGCAACTGGTCCTCTTTGAGATGTTGCTGAGAACCGTGTCGACCTCAATCTAACCCGACACACAGCGAATCAAATGCATGAATATTCAATTACACTATCATGATTTTTTTCTTGTGCATCTTCTCGCACCAACACCAGGAACCATTGATCTAGATTTGCATTGCACTGTTCAACAGCATTTTAGATGTCGGTTTAAGGGATGACACGACATGTGTGGTAGTACACCACTCACTGGAAAAGGTACAGGCTTGGATGGTGAAGATATCCCACAATTCACTGCTTGTTTGAGATAAGAGTTCCTGCCTCAAGCGTTTGGGAATTGTGGCACTTCTGGAGGCCATGTCACTTAATGGGTGACCAGAATCAACCAGGCCAACAGCGGACCGCCTTGAAATTGAACAGAATGCGGAAGTCTCTCGTTGTCCCCTTTTTTTCCCTCGTTCTTCCAAAGAATGCAACAGCCTTGAGATATCATGATCGGAGTGACTGAACCCAGGTAATTCAGAATTGTCTTATTCAGTTCATCTCATTATCTGTATTACAACAGTTCGTGGGTACACCAACTGAGCTAGGCCCCTTCGTGGAAATCACTCGTTGGTTTACCTGATGCTTTTCATCTCTTTCTTGGATGACATCTGAAGGACAGGCAAGTACATAAGGAGCTGACTTGACCCTTACGTCAATCCCTGCGTCAAGTGAGCCCCATGTTCATTTCTTGTTTCCTTCCAATCTTCAATCTATACTCGTGCACTTCCAAAGAGTAAATCCAGACAGAAACACGAGCACATTTCCCAGATGGAAACACAAGTACAGAGCATGCGTCTAGACAGTCCTTCCGCCTTTTATATCCACATACAGGAGGTATCTAGCACAATCTGCATATAGGTGGAGCACACATCACCAAATCCCACTTTCCAATTCTTGCTGATACCAATTCAAGCTGTTTCCCCCTATTGAGCAACCAGGTTCACTCACCTTATCCTCCCTGGACAAGGTATGTTCCATCCTTACTGAACTGCCTGCCCAGAGGGGAGCCCTGCAACAACAATCAGAGCAACCTGGAAGGTTGACATGGGTTGGAATTTCACTCCACCCACATGTGCCGTGGATCAAAAAGCATCTGCGGCTGGGATCTGGACAGCTTCCTGCTAATTTGAATTCAATCCATGTGGCTCCTGTACAAGTGAGCCCGCTGATGCGACAGAAAATCTTACAATGGACTGCCATCTGGCTGAATTTAGAAGCTGCTGGTGACCTGGCTGCTAGCTCACTCATACAACGCACTGCTGACTACAGTCCATTGATTACATAGATTGACAGGTCAGGTCAACCACGTTCTCTGATACAATTGCCAGGGAGCTGCAGCGATTTGTGTCATGCAGGGACATCTATCTGTCTTGACTCTTGAGCTGAAATGGAAAAATACAGACAAATGGGTACAAGCAAAGTGGAGCCACCTGAGGAGGAGTTCCTCCACATTTGGGCAACGCCTCATCAATGCAGCCAACACCTCATCTGATGCCCTGAGGCACCAAGACAGATTCAGGTACCTGCTCAAGAAAACGCAAGCGATAAAGGGAAAAACACCAAAAATTTAGCTTCAAATGTACTGCGGCAGTTGCAATGCAGTAACTGCAGGACATAAAAACAACAAACCCGGTCATTGAATTTTGGCTTCGGGTTGACTGCAGTAACTGAGGTCCAGTATCTCCATGGGATCGAAACAAAACCCAGCCATCAAAGTTTGGCTTTCAATCGGCTGCATTAACTGGAGGACAGAAAAGCAAAACCCAGTCATGAACATTTGGCTTCGAGTTCATTAGAGTACCTGAAGTTACTGCAGGACATAATTGATTTGCACCATTCCAAGGGAAACATCACTCACATGTTTCATTGCATGCATGTATATACTACATAATTATATTTACACATGCACACAAAAGGAACATAAAATTCATTGAGAATGATAAATGCATACCCTCGATTGTGAGTCCACCCTGCAGGCAATGCACCTTGCAAAGTACTTTGTGGGGGTGGTGCGAGGCTCAAGGCCTCGGTAAGCCCTACTGGGCCTTGTTATCAGCAAGGTCGGCCGCCCTAAGTGAAGGCAGGCCCGACCTAGGCCTATTTTGGACTACCACGCAACTGGGGAAAATTCAGGCAGTTGCGCAGCACCAGTTAGTTGAAAGTGCCCAGGCCCAGGCTGCCTTTATCGTATGTAATGGAGGCAGGCCCTGGGCCAGATACGCAACATGGACCGAACACAGGTTGCGGAAATTTGGGCACGGGTAACCACCACAGGCCCTGGGCCTGATTCGTTCGGACTGAGGCTCAGCCTCTTGGGGCCTACCGAGAGCTTCTGGGCCGGGGCCCAGTGCAGCCTTGCCGCACGCAGCAGGCAGGCCACTTCCATTTAGGAAAGGGCCTGCCTCCAGATTCGGCATTCGGGCACTGGCTGCATGCTGCGCTAATCGCTGGCCAGGCCCATGTGATGAGAACTATCTGATGTGCGATTGACGCATCTGGAAGGAGAGGGCAGAGTTATCTGAAGGGCCCTGGACGAAACTGGGTCACGGTCACCATGCCAACCCGCCGGGAGTAGAGCACACATGCTTTGCTGCTTTGTCCTTTGTCTGCTCACTGCTCTGATAGATGGGTTATGAGGGGCAGGCCAGCCCTACAGGGGAGGCGAGTACCGGACGTCTATAACTAAGCACCGGCGAGGTTACCTTCCATTGACCGTGATCGTCGTCCTGTCTGCGACGTAAAATAATTCCTGAGGACTTCGGGGGTCGTCCTTAAACGCCTCTTCATTAGCCAATCGGTCGGTGTAAGGCTCGCTGCACACGAGGGTAAACATTGTGCAGGGCTGGCCAGCTCTGCATACACTCGGGGCACAGGGGTGGGCCGTGTGCACACCTTAAGACACGCACGCCATCCGGATCGCTCAGGAACACTGACGTCAAGCGACAATCAAGAAGAATTGAGAGAGGGGTAGATTTCAGGTGATCAATTCGGGAAAGATTCCACTCTGCAAACAGCCATGCAAATGATTCTATTTTTATTTTTGATTAGTTAGATGTTACAGCCATTAACACATCTGACAGACAGCACAGGTAGAAATTACTGTGTGCTTTCTGTGTGCGGACTAGTCAAAATAATATAGTTCCGTTTGTAGGAATCTGGACTTACCTGTTGGGCCCGAATGTGTAGACTCTGACATGGCCACCAATTAATTAATTTATTTATTTTAAATTGGTCTGTGCACTACGCTGCGGTAGGCATAAAGTGTGACCTAGTTCAGATACAGTGCTGTAGCTTATGAGTGACAGGGAGAACACTAGCGAGGACGATAGGATCCTGCGATCAGCAAGGCACCCTATAGCCCACGTGGCATTAGGACCCGAGGGTGACAGATACCTGTTCTGCCAGCAAAGGGAGAGACAGCAGAAGCAGCGTAGAGCTAGGGCCGCAGAGGCAAGCAGAGAATTCGCAAGCGAAGCCGCTACTTCAGCAGCCATGGCCACAGTTGCGCAGCAAAGCTCTCAGGCTAGTAGTTCAGCGACTGTAGGGGCAACGGTCGCACAGACCCTGAGTCAGTCCCCTGGCGTCATGGCAAGCCAGCAGTTAGTGTTAACTCCCGAGGAGGTTGCCACACAGCGAGAAAATCCTAAGGAGGCACAACTACACAAGGCGTTAGGAGAGATAAAGGAAGAAAAGGAGAGAATGCTTAGACGTAAGTCAAGGATGTAGCGGAGACAAGCGGACCTTAGAGAGTTAAGAGGAGATGGACCTGACGCATATGGATGATGATGTGAAGATCGAGAGAACCGCCCTGCTAGATGTAATAGAGATGCAGGACTATCACACGACACTTTTACAGGACATTCAACAGAGCCTGGCCGTGCTGGCTGGGAGAGCTCAGGTAGCACCATCACCATCAGGGCCTTGTGCCTGGCCTGTGGTACAGCCTCCTCCTTTTGTCCCACCGGTGACTGGAGTATCCCCATTCGTAGTTTCTCCAGCATCGGTCCAGGCCGCTTCCCTATTAGGTATGCCTTTGACAGGCGGGTTCTCAGCAGGTCTTAGCGTACAGATTTTTGTACAGACAATGTATTCCCAACCTCCGTTACAGACTACAGTAACTGGGCAGCCTGCTGTCTCGCTGCCAGCACAGCCGCAGGGCACACAGCCTCAACAGCAGCTAATGCTGCAGCTTGTGCCCCATGGTCCACAGCCTGGAGTAGCGCAGGTATCGGGACAAGGCCAGTGGGTTCCAAAGACTGCCATCACCTCGCCTAAACCCTTTTCAGGGGATAAGAGAGGCGAAGACCTTGACACATGGTTGAGGTCAATACCAGTGTACGTGAAGTGTAAGTTAACCTTGCCGCACGAGAAAGTGTTTGTGGCTGCCTCCTACCTGGAAGGGAGTGCAGCAAGATGGTTAAGCGGGCTAGTGCAACTACAAGGATACGAACATGACTTCCGCGCTTGGGCAGTCAACCAGAAACTGGAGGGCTTCCTTAAACCGGTGGAGGAAAGGTGGCATGATCCTTAGGACGCCCAGAAGGCCACTGATGCGATCCTGACTTTGAGCAATAGACCATTCAAGTCACTAATGGATGCCATGTGTGCCTGGAGTACGCTATGACCCCCAGGTCTCGCTAACCACTTACCTAAGATGTCTTCCTATGCCACTCGGGAATCAGTTGGTGGGTGAGGCCAACATCAATGTGCATAACTTTCCTTCGTTTAGCAAGAAGGCCCTAGACCTTGAAGCAAAGATAAGGCATGGACACCAACCCACAATGGATGGAAGGAAGAAGGCACTGCCTCCCAACTGGAAGGCCAAAGGTCGCATTATGTTCGTCGACAACGATGGTTCCACCATCGAGTTAGACGACGACTTCCAGGAGGGAGTAGGTTCAGAGGCAGGCAGCGTAGAGGCTTCAGGGGGTGCAGCAGTCGCTGCCTCAGTCCAAAAAGGTAACGCGACCGGTAGATGCCGTGGAGGTTCCCGGTCTAGGAGTCAAGTTGACCCTAACGCTCCTCCATGGGAGAAAGCGGGTCTCACAGAGGACGTGTGGAGAGACCAGTACACCCGGCAAGCTTGTATTCGTTGTGGCCAATATGGTCATAACCAGTTAAAGTGTCGGAACCAGAAGGTGACCGAGAAGATCCCGCCAATCATGGGGCAGGCGACAGGATCCTCCGCTTCCCAGGGTAGCAATGTAGCCAGCAGTTTTGACACCGCCTCGGAAAACACGTCGGGCCAGTAGGAATGATAGTTGTTCCTGCTAGGGTCGAGGTGGTGGACACACCCTCACCATCTCGAGAGATGGCCCAAGCTACTGACTCCAGTGTCGTCCCGCAAACACATTCGGACCCATCGATCCTATGTTCGTTGAATGTGTGTGAGTGCTTAGAAGAGCTAGAGGAGGAGTGGTCTAGTTCAAACCCGGACGGCTATGGCAAAAGCCCCTAAGGGTGATTTGTTCGTCGGCGAGGTAGTTGGCGGCCACAAAGTCGGGGCCTATTATGACCCTTGGGCGACGCGGAACTTTATCAGTCACGTATGCGTTGAGAGGCTGCGCTTACAGGGGCAAGTGCAGCACCTGAGTCAACCTGTGGAGTCGACCTGCACCAACCAACAGCGCATGGTAGTCACTGACTACCTTTAAGACATAGAGTGTCTATTCTCATACGTGGAAGGGGAGTTGAGACATCGAGTCTCGTTCCTAGTCGGCGATGATCTCCCAATGGACATCTTGTTGGGTATGTACTATCTTTGGGTTGCACAACCCCAGTTTGACTGAGACAGAAAAGCGGTCAAACACACTTTGCATAGAACCAATGTCGACATCCTATCTGGCGCTCTGCGCCCAGACTACAAATGGCAGATCCTATCTAGCCTATCTACAATGCCGCTGGTGACGTCAACAGCTCCCCGAAGTACGAGCAGATCTCGACCAATGCCATTCGCCTCAAGCATCAGGTATGTCTCTCGTATCACTCACAACCTCGATCCCCCACTCACAGATGCCACATGCACCCAAGGACCACCATGCGCCCCATCAGAAACACAAGCAACAAAGGATAAAAGAAGAGAACATAAGTGTAATGACCCGCCAAAACACAGACTGAGAACACTGCTAATTTTGGGGATTTGCCGCTGGAATGAATGCCTGGCTGAGATTCCCGCATTCTGCTGTGGTTTCCAAGTCTGTGTGTGCCTGCTTGCATGCCTGTCTGAGTGCTTGTCGATTGAGTGTGTGTGTGACCCGCAAGGGTACTTGTTGGTTGAAAGGCCCCGCAGGGCTGGTACTTACCTGTGGCCGTGACTTGGTTGCAGCGGGGAAAACACTCAAGTAGCGGGGGTAGGCCCGCGACACTTAGAGCAGCGGGGAAAAACACTCAAGTAGCAGGTAGGCCGGTACCACTCAAGTAGTGGTAGGAGTGTCAGGCACTGGAGGCCAAGCAGAAGAAGACAAAAAGTTGGCATTTTTTTAGGCCCAGTAGCGGTAGGATAGAGGTAGGCCGGTACCAGTCC